AAAAAAAAAGTGAACAACATACAGTTAAATAAACAAATTTCTAAAATGCATTCATTGATTGTGCAATGTAAATTTGTAATAAATGTCCATAGAAAAAGAGAGAACATGACTATTTGTAGTAACATATAAATATAATAGGCCTGAAAGTTCCATGCAATACACAAAGTCATCAATGGCTAGCTATGTATGAAAGTTCCATTCAAGCCCACCATTCAAGAAGTCTTCAAATGATACCTCCACCAATCCTTCACATTTCACACCATTTTGTCAATGGTGGTGTGCTATTTCATATCTATAAATAGGCTTGTTATTTCATTCATTCAAATCATCCAAGAGTGTGATCAATCAACCTTGAGAGTGTTGAAACACAACCAAGAAAGAGTTGTGGAGAATTTGAGAGTTTTTTGTTTAGAGTTTGTAAATCTCTTGTGTTTTTATTCTTGTGAGTAATAAATACTTGTTTTTCTCTCAAATATGTTTATGATCTTGGGATGATACCACAACAAGTGGTACCAGAGCTTGGTTTGAAGCTTTCGAGCTTATTTTCGAAATTTTTCGAGGCTCTGTAGAAATTTCGAGTTTCTGCGCTGTGCTCGAAATTCAATTTCGAGGACACCGTTAGATTCGTCTCGTCGAAACGGTCACGGTGATATCTTACAGGCGAAAAACAGACACCGAAGCTGCCCCGAAAAGCCTCCGCAAATTCTGAAAAAAAAAAGAATAATCTTGAGGAAGAAGATGATGATGTGTCGCCACATCATCTGACACGTCATCGCCACGTCAGCAAGGAAGGCCCAGTCAGCAGCCCAGTGAGCTGCTGCATCAGCAGTCCAGTCAGCCGCCAGGTCAGCGCTCCAGTCAGCTGCCACATCAGCAAGTCAACGCCACATCATCGGTTGACTGCCACGTCATCAATAAAAAAACTACCCCCCCATTTTCGACTGTTCCGGACGCAACAGTGTTGTCTGTTTTTCAAAATTCCACTCCGATTTGTCCCAAACAGATCGTTGAAGGTATAAAATGGCCATGGAAGAGTCAACTTCTTCTTCTGGAGCTATGATTATGCTCACGGCTACCAACTATACGCTGTGGAAACCTAGGATGGAAGATTTCCTCAGCTGTAAAGAGCTCTTTGATCCAATAGAGCTGAAAGATATTAACCCTGATCCGTCCAAGGCATTAGAATGGAAGAAAATCAATAGAAAAACTATTGGTCAAATCCGACAATGGATTGATCATAGTGTCTTCCATCATGTTGCACAAGAAACCGACGCATATGTCCTTTGGAGGAAGCTGGAGGACATGTACCAAGCCAAGACCGCTCGGAATAAGGCCTTATTGATGAGGCGCTTAGTCAATATGAAGTTGAAAAGTGGAACTTCTGTTGCCGAGCATACCAGTGAGTTCCAGAGCCTGTAAATCAGCTATCTTGTGTGGAGATGCCGCTTGGAGATGAAATGCAATCTCTGCTACTTCTTAGTTCCCTTCCTGATAGCTGGGAAACACTCGTTGTTACTCTCAGCAACTCAGCCCCAAACGGCAAACTTTCCATGTCCGTTGTCAAGGATGTCTTATTCAATGAAGAGGCAAGAAGGAAAGACATGGGCACAGATCAGACCCATGCCCTTATGATGGAGAATCGAGGAAGACCACAAGGTAAGCAACAAAGAAGCGGTAGAGGGAAGAGCAGGGGTAGAAGTAAGGGGAGGCAATCAGATGATCGGAGATCACATGTGTGCTATCATTGTGGTCTAGAAGGTCATATGAAGAAGAATTGCTATAAATGGCTCGAGGAGCAGGGCAAGAGCAATTCTCAACTGAAGAATAGTTCTCAGCAGAAGAACAAGGGCAAGAGTGGTGAAACTCTTATCGCTGTCTCAGGTGATGTAGCATATTGCTCTAACCATGGTGAGACATGCCTTCATGTCTCAAGAGAAGACATGGAATGGGTGGTAGATACTGCAGCTTCCTATCACGTTTCTCCCAACAGGAAATACTTCACAACATACCAAGCTGGAGACTTTGGATCGGTGAAGATGAGAAATTCCAGCTTCTCTCAAATTGCTGGAATTGGTGATATCCAGGCAACGACAGGAACCGGGAGTACAATCTTCTTGAAGGATGTCAGGCATGTGCCAGATCTTAGGGTGAATCTTTTGTCAGTGGTGGCTCTTGACAAAGAAGGATATGAAAATCACTTTGGCGGAGGCACATGGAAGTTGTCAAAGGGTGTTCTAAAAATTGCCCGAGGACATGTTTGTGGGACGCTGTACAAAACACATTTGAAGATCAGTACAGAAAGTCTCAATGTCGCAGAGGAGGTTTCCCATGATCTATGGCACCAGAGACTCAGCCATATGAGTGAGAAAGGGCTGACTACCCTGATGAAGAAGGATCTTATCAAGGTTGATAAGAGTGCCACGATGGGTTCTTGCAGTCATTGCCTGTTCGGCAAGCAGCATAGAGTCTCATTCAATACAAGTTCAACAAAGAGATCAGAGTTGTTAAGCTTGGTACACTCTGATGTTTGCGGTCCCATGGAGGTTGAATCACTGGGTGGAAGCAGATATTTTCTG